GAAGGAACAAGTTCGTGGGCACATACCGAGAGACGGCACTGCCAACGCTCTCTCTCTCTCTCTCTCTCCCCCTCCTCCCCCTCTCTCCCTCTCCCCTCTCCCTCCCTCCCCCTCTCTTCTCCTTCCTCCCTGACCGCGCCACCTGTCCGTCCCCACCGTGGACCGCATTACTGCTCTCGCTCTCCTACATCGCTTAATCCTCGCTGCATGTCCGCTCGCGCGCGCTGCCGACAGCGGTTTGATTAAGTCGGCACGCGGGATCGGCGACAGCAGCAGCAGCAGCAGCAGCAGCTGCCTCGGCCGTGCAATGCGCGGGGCTCGCGAAGATGCGGCGCCGTGGCAACGGAGGAGTGAATCGGGAAGCCATGGCGAGGCAGGCGCGAGATGTCACGAAGCACGCGTGCTTGATGCTGTGTGCGCATGGGGTCTTCCACTAGGAAGTGGGTAGCTATGACGACGGACGGCACCGGGAAGCTGTGGCAGCGGAGAGAGAATCTGAAAAGTCACAAAGTGGAATTGAATCGGAAAGCCATGACGAAGCAAGGACTCCGAGTGAATTGCGAAGCCATGAAGAGACAGCAGACCCGAGGCTGTGTGATGGTCTTCCATGCGTGCACCGGCAATTGGGTAGCTGTGGCGACGGAAAGAATTGTGAAGCCAAGAAACCTAAGAAAGCAGGGAATCCGAAAAAGCAAAGGGAATCGAGAGGCTATTAAGTTGAAGGGAATTGGGAAGCCATAAAGTAGAATTGAATCAGGAAGCTATAACGTAAACGTGAATTGGGAAGCCATAAACTATCAGGGGGATCTGGAAACTATCAAGTCTATAAAGAACTCTGGAAGTCATGAAGTCGAAATGGAATCGAAAAACCATGGCGGCGCAGCGTGCGTGTGAGATGCATAACAGAGAAGGGGAAGAGGGGCGGGAAGAAAGAATTTGAGGGAAAAGAAGCCATCTGTGAAAAATTGTGGTGCAGGGAAGAGCAACAGCCCATGACGTAATGTCCTGAAGCAGGAATCCGTTGAGAGAAAGAGAGAGAGAGAGAGAGAGAGAGAGAGAGAGAGAGAGAGAGCAGAGAGAGAGAGAGCGAGAGAGAGAGAGCGAGAGCAAGATAGCGAG